TTTTTTGTGTGCAGGCTTACGTTTTTTAATTTTTAACTTGCCCTGGGGCATTTTACCTCTTTACCTTAACCCAAACTCAAAGTGAATTTCCTACATGGAATTTGCTTATTCTGGAGCTGTACCGATGTTTCGGCAACCGCCGGTATGGCACCATAGGCAGATTTACTATCTACCGGTGCCAATTTCCAAAGAAGACCGTATACAAAGAAGAAAAAGAGCGAAAAAAAATTACGTGAATTACGTGATTCTCAACGGCAATAAGAAAAAATTAGGGCTGTCCTGGTGCATCCATCGATGAATGGAGGTCATCTTTGATAGTTCCTACGCCCCCCCATCCGATGCATCGATACATTATCGATAGTTCAGGTCGATGCATCGATGTTTCGAAAACTGCTATCGTGACATTTACTATTGAATATTAAGCGGTACCAAATAAATCAGGTTTTATTCGATGGTAACCGTGAGAGCAGTCGCGAACGATATGCTCCTCATAGTGATCATGCGCCATGAAAGGGTTAAATGGCAGGGTTATGAAAGGGTTATAATGAACATGAAAGGGTTGATGACAGGATGAATACTTCCGAGAAGACGGTGGATCCCACGCTGGATCCTCCGACGGCCAATAGAGTCTTGAGTCCCCGTCTCTTGCTCCTCAGAGCGTTGAATCGTCGGTATGCATCTGTAACACGCAAAAGCATTCTATGCAGATGCGTAGTTATTTACTCTAACATGTTATTTACTCTAACATGTTATTCACTGCAACATGTTATTTACTACAACATGTTATTTACTGCAACATGTTATTTACAGTAACATGTTATTTACCAGTCTTCCATTATTGCCTATGATCAACGTAACCGGTAGCACAATCGGAGAGAGTTGCTTAAATACCTTTCCCGGATCCGGATGCTTCGACGATATCATTCGACGGATCGAGGACCTGGATCTTGTCGTCGGTGCCGACCCCGGCAAACGCATGGACGAGGTGGGCGCAGAGGGTCGGGTCGATCGCTTCTGGTTTGCCGATGCTGCCGTTTGAGGAAAAAAAAAAAAATTTGTTGAATTTGGCACACACTTTCGGCGTTTTCCATCGAGTGGGGAAATTTTGACCTTTTTTCGTGTCCTTTGTCGCCATGATGGAGTAGAGAACCGAGAGGAACAATCTCGCCAGCTCCATTCTCTGATCTCAAGTCCCCAGGAAAAATTCCAAACATCGTCCTCGCCTTTGCTCGAGAGAAAATCCAGAGAAACGGCTTGCATGCATTGCGTCCACGAGCGAGACTTGATGAGATTCGTGAACTCACAGGTTATCCGCGAAGAATCGTGAGGAAATTATGAATCTAGACAATTTGAAAAGCGACGTACACAACAATTTCGATACAAATTCGTGAGACTTTAAAATTGTATGGAATTATCCATTTTTGGAAGGTTTCTCAAATAAATATGGTCATTGACGATATCGTACAATAATATGGATCAGATTGTGAAAATGAAGAAATTACAAACACGTCTGACGGCAAAGATGGTTTGCGCCCAACTTCGAGAGGAAAAATGTTGATACACACCTTGAAATGCTGATACACATCGTGAAATGTTGATACACACCTTGAAATGTTGATACACACCTTGAAATGTTGATACACACCTTGAAATGTTGATACACATCTTGAAATGTTGATACACACCTTGAAATGTTGATACACATCTTGAAATGTTGATACACATCTTGAAATGTTAATACACACCTTGAAATGTTGATACACACCTTGAAATGTTGATACACACCTTGCAGCGTAGAACATCGAACCGACGTTGAATCGATGTCGATTCTATGTTATTTGCACCTCGGGTATTCAATTCGATGGATTTCAATCGAGTATCCGAGAAAAGAAACGTTGCAAATGGACCACAATCGCAGACTTAAAATTCCTAATTAAACTTAATAAACGATAATGAATTTTGTTGGATGGAATGTGTGTGGGCTGAAAGCAATGCAATGTTGTCATCTGCAATGTAAAAATTTTTTTTAACGAAATATTTATTGTGGAAGGTAAGAAAAATACTTTCTGGTTTAGAAACGGTACATAGCAATTTTGTGTGTGGGTTGAAAGCAATTTTCAGCCGAACGCGCTCCCTCCGCGGGATGAAGTTTAAAATGCGGGGAAAAAAATGATGAGATCACGCAGAAAAAGGCTCAGTGCGTCGTATGGTCTGAATCCACCAGAGCGAAGTTTGGGATGAATCATCCAACACGGAAAGACATTTTCGGCCGGCTCAAGGGTTTTTTTTTTCGAGACCAGCTGTTTGTGTCAGAAATCTAGAGCTGGTAGATCCAGGGAGCTGTGCCCATCTGTGCCCCGGACAGACTCCATATGTTTTCTTTCTGATCGGTTCAATCTACGTCTTCGCGAGGAATTTCTTCAGCCCGGATTCGAACATCGTGACAGTTCACTTTCACAGAAAGACGAAGTGTTGCCTAGCCATTGCCTAGCCATTGCCTAGCCATTGCCTAGCCATTGCCTAGCCATTGCCTAGCCATTGCCTAGCCATTGCCTAGCCATTGCCTAGCCATTGCCTAGCCATTGCCTAGTCACGGCTGAGAGAAATGTCATCATTTCAAGTGCCTCTCTCGAAGCCACAGCATTTCGGTTTGTCAGACGACAATTTCATGCAAAAAAAATGCCAATCTGCAGCATTGAAGGCACAACCGTTTCTCTACCTGGTCTCGAGGAAAACCGATTCCGAGTCCATTCCGATACCACGAAGCTCTGCTCCTTCCATCTTTTCGCTTCCCGATTTTCCATAATCCGGAGAAAAGAGGAAAATGCACAAATTAAATCCAAATAATCCAAAAACTTGCATTCTTAGGATGAATTGCAGAAATCTGGTTGCAGGGGGAAATTCTACGCAATGGAATGTCGAATACTTGAATGACCAACGATTATTTCGATAATTGATCGATATAACGATAAAAAACATTTCCAGAAGAAGATATTTATTTACTGACACCAAGGCTTAGCCTTGGTACGTTGCTTATACAAACTTGTTTTCTAAAGGTTGTGCCAAAAAGGCACAGCATGGTGACGAAACACTGGGAAACAGCGTAGACCTCAGGTCCAACAGTGTTTCTTGCCAACATCGTGAAATCAGAGTTTCCTGGTAATAGGTACTCATATTGACTTATTAATGATGCGACCATAACTTATTAATGATGCAACCATAACTTATTAATGATGCGACCATAACTTAATAATGATGGGACCAAGGACAAGGGTACACAGAAGTCGATTCGCCAAAAGGGAATTTGTGGTGTCTCTTGACATCAGTCCATTTTTCTTTGAGGTAACTCTCTGCTAAAAAAAAAAATACCCAAACACGTTGGAAATGCCTCAAATATGCCAAAAAAAAGTTCAACTTGGCTGCAACGAGATGGCGCCCCTCAACATTTCTCGTGAGTTCCTCGATTATTTCCAATGGATCGGCCGTGGTGGGCCCATTGCCCTCAAAATCCGCCGACCTGACTCCCTGTGTTTTTTTTTGTGGGATCTGGCATCCGTGCTTATTGTATTCAATAAATAAAAAGGGTACCTATTTACGCGACACCCTGTACAATTTTTTAAAATTCAATTGTGGGACAAACAATATAAGTTCACGAAGTCGCATTTTGCATTCACAGGCCCCAAGCGATAATTCGGTAATGTGAAAGAAAAAATGATCAGAATTTCAAAATCTCCCGCTGGAGCCAACAGCGTTTTAATTTTCCCAAGCGATTGACTCCATAATTAATAAGTAATAAGTAATTAATGTAAAAATTTGACATTTTTGTAAAAATTCCCACAATAAATAGTTATTAGTAATTCTTGAAATTCATCAACAAAGCAGAAATTGTAAGCTGTACTCATATTTAATTTCGTTTCACTTCAAGTCCTTTAATTGGCCAGGGAAAAGCGCAAAGGTCTGTATAAAGGAAAAGTACCTGCGAACTTCAAACTTGAAATTCTTTTTCCCTGAGAATTTCCATCGGGCGTTCGTCCCAATGGAATTCTGAGATGGTTGAGATGGAGACTTATCTTTCCCTCATCTGACTTCCCTTACGAAAAGGTCCTATAGGAATCCTATGAGATTTTTATGATTAAAACACCTTAGAGTATCCTTTAGGATATTTCCGTTAGGGTTATAATTAAAGGATTTCAATTTTACAGCAGTCCATTTCCACTCTCGTAATGTATTAAGTCGGTCAGCACGGGACGATCCTCGAGTTCTCCCTGCACAGAAGAAGAATCTGCAGGAAGAATCGCCCAGCTTCTTTCCGAGGGGAACGAAGACCAAGATCGATAACCCGACGACCTATGCCCAGAGAATCATATTCTAAGGGGACGTTGCCTAGATGCTCTCTGACGTCCGCGCCGCACGATGAGGGTCAGGGACGCACTTGGACACCCGGTCAATGCGGCAGGTCAATGCGGCGCTCGCGGAGGTGGATGTCTCGCTAAGGAAATCGTTACGTCCCCTCTTTCCTATTGGAGGGATTCGCTCGTCATTCTGACTCTCCTGGCATTCAGGCTTTCCGAGTGTAACTCGAAGGGCTAAGCAGGGATGAAGTCGACTGCTTTCGTCTATGGGAAATGCGTGTTTTAGATTTTTCTTCCTAATATCCCACTGACCTATTTAGTCATTGATCGGTGGAAGTATGTTGGTATAGCAAATGCGAAGAATACGATATTCGTTGAATCATGGCACAGTCATTTATTCTGTATCAAGTGCCGCATCAATTTTTGCAAGATTAATTAAATATTCAAGAAAACCTATCCAAAAATGTCTGCGACTGTGCAAAAGAAAAAAGGACAATGCAAATAAAGAAACAAAGGACAATGCAAATAAAGAAAAAAAGGACAATGCAAATAAAGAAACAAAGGACAATGCAAATTCCAATGAAACGATTAGCTGTGAGAATTATCTTTACAAAGTGACAGAGGTTTTCCTCCGCCCAAGGTCCAATTTCATCCTGTCCCCCTCCGTGCTTGAAGTGAGAGAGTGCATTGCTTGAAGTGAGAGTGAAGTGCTTGAAGTGAGAAGATGACAGGTTCTCCTTCGTCCTTGCGCAGCAACATCAGCCGGTGGCTGTCCTGAGGCAACTCACGAAATCATTGTAATTGCTCCTCAATGCGAACCTTGTCGTTCCGAGAGTCTGCGATCAAAGGGAAAATTTTTTTGGAAGGTTAATTGTTGCCTTGGTTCGGTCTGATTTCCTGGGAATCGGTCCGAAGGGACTCACTGCCAGATTCGTGGTGCTGCATGCGATGATCTTGTTGCCGGTGGTGCCAGCAGTGCTGTCGAAATAGGTCGACGTGAAGCAGTTGGTCTTCAGGTAAGAGAGGAAGTTGCTCATCCTCGCCGGGAGAAAGAACAGCAGGTTCACGTAGCCGGCTCCCTAAGATGCAGAGCGACTCGACTTGATGAAATTGCCCCGGCAACGCGGCAGCAACAGTTGCCACATTTCTTTACAGCCGCAGTGTTGTCATCCCTCGCACTATCCCCGTCGATTCTGGGATTGTCCTGGACATTGGATTTTCTCATTTCTCATGTTTATCTACTTGCAAGCTATTTGTAGTACAAGCTAGTAGAATATGAATTATTAATAGCTACTTTCCACTAATTGCCGATGGATTGATTACCGTCGATAAAAATGGTCTTTCCTTTGTCTGTCAATAAAATTACTTCCGTGAAATATTTGCATCTCCTCTGAGAATATTAATTTTCGGCAAGTTTATCGGGATTTATTCTTCAAGACCCCCACCCCCTTGACCTTGGCCCTTGCCAATAAGGGCGTCAGTCTCTCACCCGAATGCAGGATCGGCAGGCGGAGGTCGTCGAGGTCGACACGACCGATCCGCAGACCAAGTTCTGGATCGTGAACAGGAGGATCCCCTCGCTCGGTGGCACCTGGAAAACAGGAAATCTCCCTCCAGAAAATCCCTCCTTTGCAATCGATTTCAAAGTTTCTTGGGACGAGTAAATTTCGCATGAATACGCAGACAGTAGAGAAAAATCCTCGTCGACCGTCGGAATGCAATCCGTATTTCTCTTTTAGTTATTCTATGATTGGGGGAGCTGATAATGAAATCTCCTGGGAATCCTATTACAAATTTTGAACGTGAAAAACTGATACAATAGATGATAATTTTCAGGGTGTTTCATGACTTCCTTATTATTTGGTTTGGGAATTTCATTTCCCCTTTAGTACATTTGAACTTGGAGTGCATAGGAAAATTATCGCGTGTGATTTTTATTGAAAACGTTTTTTAGGAATCCTTACCGCATTCTTCGACGTACTTGGCTTAAGGAAATATTGTGTCTGTTTTATACACAATTTCGAGAGTTGGCAAGTATTCGCGGAAGCGGGAAACCGTGCCGCGTTTCAGGAATGGATATTCCTGAAACGTCGAATCCGACATTCTATAGAATGTCGTAAAGTTCTCAGAGGTAAAATTCCTTTTGAACGCTCTGAAGGATATATTTTGCCATTTCACCCTCTCCTGGGCTGCTTGATGGCCGCATCGGCACTGAGCAATTTCGCAAGACCTCAAATGCTGCATTTTCGGCAACGGTTTCAATAGGATTCCTCGCTCCTTTCCGCCAATTATGACATGGTTCTTTAATGGAAAAATTCGCAACGTGGAAGCTGAAGTACCGTCCCATGCACCCTGAAGTCCAAACACAAAGTACGTTCGAGAAATGACATCTATACCTCAAAGAACAAATAACATAACCGGTTCAAGGACTACCAGTTTTGCAGCACATTCGAATCTTATTCGAGAAAAAACTTAGACGTATCCCATATAGTTTCTAATCTGTTAAATCACAGAAATCCCTTGAATCTTCAAGGTCAAGAAGTGAATCTTTTCGGAAGTGAACCATTTCAGAAGTGACCCATTTCAGAAGTGACCCATTTCAGAAGTGAACCATTTCAGAAGTGAACCATTTCAGAAGTGAACCATTTCAGAAGTGAACCATTTCAGAAGTGAACCATTTCAGAAGTGAACCATTTCAGAAGTGAACCATTTCAGAAGTGAGCCATTTCAGAAGTGAACCATTTCAGAATTGAATCATTTCAGAAGTGAACAGTTTCGGATACAGATAGCCCAAATGCTGAAGGGCAGACTGTACCGTCTTTTGTCGAAGGTGAAGACCCCGGAGATTCGGTCGGCGGCAGCAAAAAAAAACCTTAAAAACATAAAAACTATTTTTAAAAGGTTTATAGCCATGGTTCAGGCTCATTGCAACGTCCCTGGGGAAATTTTCGCCAAGTGTCTCCTTGACGCCAGGAGCCTCTACAACTCCCTCTGCGCTCAGACGCGGCAGTGATGGCAACTTGATTGAGCATCAGTCGCTGTGGTTCTCGACCGGTCTTCACTCAACTTCACGAAAATGCATCGACTGCTCACAGTTGACGCAACGAAGATAGTCCTATTTTGGGCGTGGGGAAGATGCTTTGTAATAAAAAAAAACCCTCATCTTGGCGTTTATGGAACTCGAGCTGAGACAGGTGCATGAATCTGTTCTTCAGTTGATTCGTGGCAATTGCTTTCTTCCTGAAGTCAGGAAACCCGAAAGAACCTGGAAACCCAAAGTCTTCCTCGAAAAATGAGAATCTTAACAGATTCTCCTTCTTGCGGATGACCTGCCACGTTTCAGCTGTCGAAAGAGCCAGCTCAAGCCTTGAGCTTTTGCTGCTGATTCGTCGGCTGACATTTAAAGACATGAATGGCACATTCATGTCTTCGAAAGTTAAAAGTGAAAGATTTTGTGAAATTTTCCATCAACTTCCCATTTTTAATGCTTGAAACGATTAAACGATATCGCACCTAGAAGGAAAAAAATTGATTCATGAATGTCCTCTCAAGAAATCCTTCGTCCAGCCGGATTCGGCCCGGATTTGACTTAAGATCATCCGACTTCACCATCTAAGAGCATTTCTGACACAACTTACCAGCGCAACAAAGAGGATCAAGGACACGCAAATCGACGAGGAAAGCCTGGACTGCATGTCGAAGTGCGGCGAAATGCTACGGACAGGTCTAACGATGACGACCGACTGACGACCGACTGACGACCGACTGACGACCGACCGACAACCGACCGACGATGTCGTGCTTTCCCCCGGCCTCTCCCAGATTGCTATCTATATCGAAGGTAAACGAATCCTGGCTCCTCGATGCTGCTATGCGACCGAGTCGGTCCTTGGCCATAAATGGACCCTTAGACCACCATAAAATTGGGTTCCGTGATGTCCAAGACCTTGTTCCGTGATGTCCAAGACCTTGTTCCACGCACATCTCCCAGGATTGCCCTTTCCACCTTCACTTGAAAAGGAAACGAGACTACTGGCTTTCAGTCGATTATTTGTCTTTCACTGGGCGTGTCTTTGTGCGCGTGTAGGTGCGAGACCGTCCATCAATTTCTTTTGTCTCTGTCAGTCGTCACAAGCTTTCGTGAACCGGTGAACGACTTTGGGAATGGTAGGACTTCAAATTTCGCGGCTCGGCAGCTTTCAAATTCGATTAAGCTTTCATTATTTTGTTCATAGCTATTCTATCTGGTGAATAAAAATGCATAAATATTCCTTCGATAAAGGGAAATTAAAAGGTGAGCATGGAGTGAGACGGTTCCTCCCATCCCACGAGGCATCCCCTTCAAGTCTCCCAATCTGAGCCTCCCAACTGAGCCTCCCAACTGAGCCTCCCAACTGAGCCTCCCAACTGAGCATGTATCTAGAAGTTCCTACTCAAACATTCTGAGTGCGTTTATTTATTTGCACCTCCTCCTGTCTTTTCTCCCGTCATGATTATTTCACCATCCATCGTGCTTGAAGAGACACTCAAAGGGCGGATCCACCTCCCAATCTGTCGATCAAGTAGAAGCTTACGCCAACTTCTCTCTGTGTTGGACAAGATGTGCGTGAAACGCCTCATGTTACTTCCGAAGGTTCCTATAATTCTGTTACCGGGGAAAGTCAGACAGTGGAATTTTCGGTTCCTAGGCTGTGCCTTTAGCTATTATTAGGTATCCGATTTTCATGTTCAAACATGTATTTCCTCTTGTTGTCTCTTGCATGCTAAAATGGCAAGAGTGCTTACTTTCATTGAAAGGAGCCACCGCACAATAACCTCTATTGCATATTTGCAGAATATTTGGATGGGAATTCATTCGGTTTATTTCGCCTGAGAACGTGCACAAATGCATTTACTACAGCGTTTCCCATTCATACAACTTAATTCGCCAGTCCTCGAGTGAGCGACGCAATTCTCCAAAGAAGTTCGATCCAGCCAACTCGGATTTTTGGTGCTATGATCCCGAAGAAGATCATCTCGAATCATGGACGAGTAGATCTTCGTAGAGCCAATGAGAGATTGAACATGGAGTCCTCATAATTTCAGCAACATAAAGTTGGCAGAATTGTCACCGACATTTAAAAAACTATTTTAAAAATTCATTAAAATTAATAGCCGAAAGTGTGGACAACACGGGAAAGGAGGCTTTAAATCGATTGGGTGTGTTTGGGTGTGTTTGCGCGTGTGTGTCTGGGTGCGTTGTCGGCGTGGGTCCGTCTGTCGATTTTTGTCATTGCAAGTTTTTGAGAACCGGTGAACGGCTTTGGGAATGTTGGACTTGGAATTTCGCAGCTTGGCACCTTTTTCAAATTCGATTAAGTTTTCATTATTTCCTTTCATACCTATTCTGCCTGGTGAAGACGACAGAAGGAGTCGAGACATGGCACTCGGCCGTTCATGCAGTCCTTGCGGTCCTTGCAGTCCTCGCGGTCCTTGAAGTCCTCGCGGTCCTTGAAGTCCTCGCGGTCCTTGAAGTCCTTGCATATTGATAACTTTGTGCAGAATTTCTGTGAAGTGGATGAATACCTGATAACAAGGAGCCTTGAACTTTTTGTGAAGTCCACGAGAATCAGATTGCGGATGCTAACTTCGTGGATAAGATATTCGGTCGGGAGGCTGCTGTCAGGTGTCGCAGGATATGAACGGTGAAAGCCCTCTGGTGGGGCAAACGCAAGGAATGCCAGCCCAGGGTCTTCCTCCGGTTCCCTTTCTATGCCGCCTCGGAGATTCTCAGAAGGAGATCGGGGCGATCGGCAGACCGATCGCCCCTTCGGAGCGGGGTGTTCGGCTGCCCCACCCCTCCTGACGCAGTCCATTCGCCGCGAGAATGAATAAATGACGACGGATCGTTGCGACGGGTACTCTTAGAAGTGGGCCGTCGCTCGGATACAATCGGCCAAGGTCAGCTGATGAGCGTCTTGCATGACTCGCAATCGACGGAATCCCCTTCGCACTCGGGGAGGTGGATGTCTCGCTGGGAACGGGGAGGGAGGTTTCTCGCGTCCCCTCCATTGGCGGCATTCACTCCTCATTCCTGTTATTCTAGCATTCTCTATCTCGCCTTGCGTTTCGTGCAGGATTATCACGTTGTGCGCGCGTGCCTTAGATGGGTGCGAAATCAAGGTCCAAAGCGCATATTGAGCTAATTTGTAGATGTCTGGGTCAATATTCTTTCTCGTTAATTACTTTCCTCTCGGAATTGGACGACATAATCACGCACCATGCTCCAGGACTCCGGAAAATCTATGGGACTACCGAATTATCTTCACTGACGGTTGTGCGCGTTCGAGGAATACATTGCTCAGTTATGACTGCTTCTTTTCGCAAGCCGGATGGGTAACGAGCAGGAGTATGGGTCAGTGGGATCGGCATGCATGGCTTCATAAGCGACGTGGACCTTCGGCAGCACTTCGCTACCAATTGCCAGGATATGAATTTAGATGATACCTCTGAAAAGGTAAATATAATATAAAATTATTTTATTATTTTATCCCCGCACAAATTAACGCTTTCTCTTCCGGCCCCTACTCGCTATCGATTCTCGTACCAGATTTATTTTTCGTCGCTCTTTTCAGTGTCAATGCAATTTATTTATTCTTAAGTTCCACGCTCTGTTATTTCCCGAGAGTCGTGGGTTACTTTTGAAGAATCTTGAGGAAAATATATGCAAAGGTGCATGCGATCGTACGAGGGAAGATCCTGGGAGCCCAAGCAGGGTATTTCAACTTTTTCCATTTCAAGTTTCGCAATAAACGGTTGAAATTCTTTGTTGCTCTCTGCAACGGTTGCCAGGGTGGGCCACGAAAAAGGGCAACACTTCACGATTTCATTAAATCCTCCCAATTATCGCTTGTCCAAGATGGGCTGTATTGGCTAAGGGCCTGCTCGGTTGCGTAGCAGCGTCTTGCGTGTTTATCTTTCGCGCTGATCGTGGTCAAGGAGGGGTTGGGGGAAAGCATGCCGTCGTTAGTCGGACTTCTCCGTCGCACTTTGTCGCACTCTGTCGCACTCTGTCGCACTCTGTCGCGCTTGGACATGCGGCTCAATCCTTGCTCGCGGATTTGCATCTTCTTCGTCCTCTTCGCTGCGCTGGTAAGTTGCTCTCAGAATATTTTCGCAACGTGAAGTCAGAATCTGCAAAATCTGGGAGAAATTAATTAAATTGCAATTAGTGCTACTACAGTTTCTGCTACAGCTGGTAGCTGGTTTGCAGGTTTCTTGCGATGGAAAATTCGGCAGGGACGTTGGAACGAGCCCGAACCATCGCTATTTCGGAAGCGGTTTTTGACCTAGAAGTGTCCTAAGCCTTCCTGCGGGTCTTTTTCGATAGTAAGACAGTGAGCCAGGTGGAATGTCGTCGAAATTCCTTCCGACTTCCCGGCCATTTTCATATTTCCATTTTCAACGTAATATTAATATTTGTCTGAGTACGAAGGTGATGGAGCGAAAATATGAAAGTTTTTCCGACAGTGGAAAGAGCAGAGAGCGAATTTCGAATTAGCGGCTTTTCCGTAATCGCTCGCAATCTCGCGAAAGCTGTGATGAATTCTGAAGGCGTTTTTAAAGGTGAGACTCAACATCGATTTTGCAAGGATAACTGCATTTCAGTCGTGCTACCCCTTGCAGATGCAAATTTATTCTCCAAGCAGCACCCGAAAAAAAAGGGGGGAAAGGAGGGAAAATATTTGACAGATGGTATATCCTGTATGAATATATACGTGGTATATAGGTTTTGTCGAGGGTCACTTCCAATACTTAACAAATTGAATGCCAGACTGAAAATTCATGAAGCTGTCATCCTCATTGGGTGACATGGCAGTCATTGTGTTAAGAGTATGTAGTGCGCCAAGGAAATAACGTAATGTGGAGAAAATGGAACGACTCAATGGAGGTCCAATCGGCGATTCGTATGGTAGGAAGAGTTCCCCACCGTGAGGTCCAAAAATATTTGCCCTTCGAAAGTTCATTTTCCATCGATTTCAGCTAGGAAAATATCTGGGAATTCCTGTTCAGATTATGTCGGACGGGTACATCGATGGATCGTGCTGTCAGGCTCTGCTGCCATCATTACCTGGTTGGGAATCTGAATTGGCATTTCTGCATTTCAGGTGCCTGAGGGTCATGGATACTTCCTGATCCAAATCGAAGCCCTCATCTGTTCGAAGGCCACCACGCCTTCTACCTGCCGAAGCTGCATTCGGGTGAGAACGTGACGTCACAATGGTGTCACAATGGTGTCACATTGGTGTCACAATGGTGTCACAATGGTGTCACAATGGTGTCACATTGGTGTCACAATGGTGTCACATTGGTGTCACAATGGTGTCACATTGGTGTCACAATGGTGTCACAATGGTGTCACATTGGTGTC